AGTAATGAATGCTAATGAATCCGAATAAAAGTTACAGTGAAATTAATGAATGCATTTGCTTCATTCACATGATGTCACATAATTCAATAGTATTTTAGGCACATGGGGAAATTAATTCCATTTTCAAATTCGTTCGATGAATCGGATTCAGATATGGATCCGAATTTCATTCCATTTGTTAATTCGGGTGCACATGACACCAGGCAATATTGTCCAATCAGCTCATGCCATATCTCTTGGTGGGTTGGACTAGCATTCTGAAATATCGAATTCTTCCAATATGAATCCATTCGATTTCATAATATATAGAACATATAGCAATCTTCCTAAAAAAACTGCTAAATTTTTCAAATCCACCTGGACCAAACGATGAAACGAATGCGGAAAATACGAATCCAAAACAAACTGGATCAACATAACGAATATGATGAAATGAAATTATTCAACAAGCAGATACATCCGAAATGAAACAAAAATTTCCAGCACATGAAAAAAAAAAGAAAAAAAATGAAGGGCAAATTCAAATTGTAAGGAGAACTGCTGCAGTACTTTACCGCTGCGACAGCTCTGCACTGCCAGCTGCGCTAGGGGGCAGTGTAGTGCGTGATTCAGCGCATCAAACTGCTTTTTTTTTTTATTTGATTTATATAAGCTTGATTGGAACTGCACAAAATGTACACTTTATTCACTGCAATGTTGCGTGGTGCAAGCTGCTGCGCTGCCTGACATTGCAGTGTGATCTCCGCAACATCTCCAAGATACGACCGTTCCTAACCACGAAAACCACTAAGCAACTTTTTCACTACCTTGTTATCTCTCGCCTTGACTATTGTAACTCCCTCCTCATTGGCCAACTCATCGCAGGCTATCCCCTCTTCAGTCTATCATGAATGCTGCTGCCAGACTCATCCACCTTACTAACCGTTCTATATCTGCCACCCCTCTCTGCCAGTCCCTCCACTGGCTTCCCATTGCCCAACGGATAAAATTCAAAACACTAACAATAACGTATAAAGCCATTTATAACTCTGCCCCAAATTACATCAACGATCTTGTCTCTAAACATCACCCAAACCATACTCTCCGCTCCTCGCAAGAACTCCTACTCTCTAGCTCCTTTGTCTCCTCCTCGAATGCTCATCTCCAGGACTTTTCCAGAGCTTCCCCCATCCTCTGGAACTCTCTACCCCAATTTATCAGACTATCGCCTACTCTGCTCACTTTTAGGTGATCTCTGAAAACCTATCTCTTCAGGGAAGCCTATCCTGCCCTCAGCTAATAATGGAATCTTCTACTCTTCCAACCAGTCCATCCCCCACAGTTACTACCTTTTGTACCACTAGCCCCTCCCTCCTAGATTGTAAGCTGCAAGGAGCAGGGCCCTCCTATCCCTCTTGTATTGAACTGTATTGTTGCTGTATTGTCTCCCATTATATTGTAAAGCGCTGAGCAAACTGTTGGCGCTATATAAATCCTGTATAATAATAATGAGAAGAAGAATTTGGGCCAGTGCACTGGAATAAAATGCAGCATGTCTGCATTTTATTGCAGCACGCAGCAGCTCAGCGCTAGGCTACGTTGCAGTGTGAATGGGACACATAGGAAAGAATTGTTTCCTGTGTGTCCCAGCGGTAACAGATGTGGTAAAACGTCTTTCAATGCACATAGTGTGATTTGGCCCTAAACTACAAACTATAAAGGAAAGGAATATAGGAGAGGTTTTTTTCAAACAAATTTCCCATAAGCAGCAAAATTGAGAGTTTCTGCTGTGACAACACTTTTTCTCGATTGGAAGTGATGGAACCCAACACACACTTCTGTCATCACACACTTTCTGATTTCAGCTAAATCAGATTTTGGTTCTGGAAATGTCAGTAAGACAGATTCTCCAGATATTTTGCCTGGTGGAGCTACAACGGGGTCTCTGAGGTCGAAGAAAATGACCAGAAATGTCTAGTTGGCAGAATATTTTTTTTCAACAATTTGGTGTCATTTTGACTGATTTTGTCTATTCTAAGGACACAGTTGGCCTCATAAGACTGACAATGAATGACGGTGAATGTGGAAGCCAATCCACGATATTCGGCTGGTCTAGGGATCACTGACGCCGAACTCGGTGACTTTGGCAGAAGAATTCGGTGAATGTCAGAAATTTTGCTCTAGAAGCAGTCTGGAGATGTGTGGCCATCCGGGGGTCTCACAGAAGGAGGACAAGAAAAACATGATATAATTAAACTGCTGGCTTCGTGTGTAGATGGGGGAGTGATGGACAGTTAATAACTAACTCCAGAAAAATACAAATTCAGCTAAAATCAGAGCCGACCACCCAACAAGGGGGGTGGCCGGGAATCATAGGACATCTATCTCTGGTTGCTGACAGCTAAAACATGGCTCCAGATGTGTATTTTCAGTTATGTTCATACATGCTTAGTCATGTGCAACACTTCCAGGTATTTATTACCCTTCACAAATAACAGTTTCCTCCAACAATGGCTTCATCTTCCTTTGTTCAGCCATCAGCCACGTTCACCAGCTGAGAGATGACACAATTATCTGATATCTGTTCTATTTTTAGTTGTATTCACAAATGTCTGACACAGATCAGCCTCTGCTGCAACCCCCCACTTTGTGACTTGCTACAAAGTTACAATGTTGTAGTCTGATCCAGTGGTGTATTTAGGTTTTTTGCTGCCCTAGGCAACACAGAAATCAGACCCCCCCCCCCCCCCCCCCCCCCCCCCCCCCGGCGGATAGAGCCCCTGACACAGACAAACACCAGACCCCCTACCCCCTCCCCAGCCCAGAGAGACCCTGACAGTGACCACCAACAACACTCCTGCCCACCCCACCCGAGAGAGCCTTCCACTAACACCCCCCTCCCCCCGGCAGCAGAGGAAAATGGACATCCCCGGGAACGAGAGTCGGGCTCTGCATACACTTTCCAGCAGCCTCTTTTAGATCCACATATGTCCCTTCTTCCTTGAGGGGTGCCGCCCCCCTGAAAAATACCGCCTTAGGCAAATGCCTTGTTTGCCTTGTGGTAAATACGCCCCTGGTCTGATCACTGGGGGAGAAGAGACTGAAGCAAACTGAAGGCACCATCTCAGTTTATGCAAAGTCACTGACCAGAGCTCAAGGGTAGTTTAATAATGGTAAAAGGTGGAGCTTTTCCGATCAATGGAATGTTTGTTGTATATTGTAATTCTTCCAGAATACTAATTATGAACCAATCTGATACCAACATCACAAAAAACTTCAGTGCAGTTCATGTGTCTCTTTCATGCTGTGATATGATCTATAGATTACATTGATTGATTCATATAAAAAAGTTTAGTTTCCCATGTACGAATAAACACAGCAAAAGGTCTTTTTTTTGTAAAATTTACTGTTTCTGAGATATTTTTATTCTCTCATCTCTTCAGCTCCGCCAGTAATAAACAGATGTCGGAAGGGGGAGGGGGGGAACAGAGCAGAGCTGCTCATTAATTAATATATTATCGCTCATTAGCATCCGACTCGGCCATTCTGTTTGATCTCAGCCGGCTGCGGCTCCACCAGCACTTTACATGTAAAATCAGAAGATTTCTGCTCTGCGGCCCAACGAGCCCCGCGAATACATATAGCAAACTGGCCAGAAAGGAAAATGCATTATTTATAGAAGTCACAGTGCACCATGGGAAGGGGAATTGTAGCAGGATACATATATATATATATATATATATATATATTTTTTTTTTTCCCTTTCCGAAATTGAACTGAATCTGATCCCAGGAAAATGAGGGAATAGGATATTTGCATACATATGACAGGATGCTGCAATTCTCCTGTGACTCTGAGTGTCAGTGACAGTGAGTTTTTTACAGGCAAACCTGGTTGTCAGTTTGGGGTTTGCTTCCAGACCTCAGAAAGGTTATGAAATCGACATCAATTCTGAGGAACCTCATCTGAAGTCACATCTACAGATACCTGTGTGAGAATCCTCCAGTAGAAGGTGGCATTCTCTGATCCAGGATAGGGAACTCCAGTCTTGTAGTGTCAGTGCAAGTGATGCCATGAACCTCGATCCCATACAATGTTGGAGATTTCAGAGTCGAATCTTCAGCTCTAAAACAGGTTCTCTTGATTTGGTCACCTTCCCCTGAGTTATCCCACTGCTATTAGCAGGATCACCAATCACCCCAACTAGATGTCCACCATCAGATTTCGATTGGAGAACCCCAAGACCCAGTAATATGCAATTCAGTGATTTCCTCTATGTTTTTGGCTGTTTTATTTGGCATAAGATAAATACAGAGACAAAGAATTCCCTGAGAAGAAAAAGAGGATTAATACTGAAGGTTATAAATCAGCTCCTAGCAGCTCGCTTAACAGCTCAGCAGCTCCAATCCCAATGAGAACCCCACTGAAGCTCCTCTATTGCTGGATATCCATCTTCCCATGAAAACAAATTGTATTATTAGACTTTAAAGTGGTTGTAAACCTCAGACATGAAATGTGAACAATACATATCCCTCTATAGTGTGTCCTTGTCTCAATCCAGAGCACTAAGTGCCATTTCTGTCCACTGCCTCGTTCCTCTGCTATCAACATGAACCACTTTGGACAAGTTTTCCTGGTAACAAGAGAAAAAAGGTGACAGGGAGGACACAGCCACTGTGATTGACATCCCCATCTCTCTGTTTCCTGTGTGCTGTGTGAAGGGGGTGTGTCCATTCCCTCCAATCAGCTCTCAGAGCTCTCCACACTGATGTAACTTCAGCTCTTCACCCCCCTGCTTTTCAGAGCTGAGAGATCCTGTATCAATTCTGCACTTTGAATGGATGTAGGGGAAAGGCAGCTATAGATAAACAGGTACAACTTATGAAGGAGGATTTGTTTCATCTCTGTGTATCACCTGAGGCCAGTTACTTCACTGGGTATATGTAAGGGTTTTTTTACCGCCTCCTGCCTGCCATATAAGGAAATGACGGACTGTAGGTTCTGGGAGGACGTCCTCCTATGACGTCCTCCCACTTTAACTTTGCATGCGCACCCCCAGGGGCACGTTGTGCAGCGATCAGTGGTGTGATGTGTTCTTGGAACACAGCAGATCACCGATCAGAGTAAAGAGCAGATGATGTCGGCTCTGTCATGTGATCAGCTGTGTCCAATCACAGCTGATCGCATGTAAACAAGGTAATGCCGGTTATCGGCAGTCCTCTTTTCACGCTCACAGTGCGTGAGTAGAGGAGAACCGGTAATCGGCATTCCTCAGAGAGGACATCTACACTGCCTTGATGATCAGTGTAGCCCCATCAGTGCCCATCAAAGCCACCTGTCAGTGCTCATCAATGCCACATACCAGTGCCCATCAGTGCACATCAATGCCACATATCAGTGCCTACCAGTGCACATCAATGCCAAATATCAGTGCCCATCAGAGCTGCCTTTCAGTGCCAACTGTCAGTGCCAGTCAGTGCCACCTATCAGTGCCAGTCAGTGTTGCCTATCAGTGCCATTCAGTGCCGCCTATCAGTGCCCATCAGTGCCGCCTAACAGTTCCAATCAGTGCTGCCTATCATTGCCAGTCAGTGCTGCCTATCAGTGCCATGTATGAGTGCTGCCTTTCAGTGCACATAAGTGAGGCCTGTCAATGCCCAAGTGCCCATCACTGCAGCCTCATTAGCGCACATCAATGAAGGAGAAAAATTACTTAATTACAAAATATTATAACAGAAACTAATAAAAAACTTTTTCAAAATGCTGTCTTTTTTAGTTTGTTTAGCACAAAAATAAAAAAACCCAGTGGTGATTAAATACAATCAAAAGAAAGATCTATCTGTCTCAAAAAAATGATAAAAATTTTGTTTGGGTACAGTGTCGTATGACCGCACAACTGTCATTCAAAGTGTGACAGCGCTGAAAGCTGAAAATCGGCCTGGGCAGGAAGGGGGTAAAAGTGCTCAGTAGGCAAGGAGTTAAACATACAGCAGGAAAGAAGTCCTCTTCTCCAGACAACACCTTCCCAATACACACAATGCAGCTTCACTCACCAGTAACCCCCCTCAGCTGTGGGGAGCTGATTTCTAACTTCAATGCAGTTACAGCTGCAGCTTTTGGCGCAGAAAAAAAAACATTGTACAGAGCACATCACCTGACTATGGCACGAGTCTGTTGTTGGGAACGATCTGGAATGGACATTTTGTTTAAAGCAGAACTCTGCTGACAATATGTAAAGAAGTCATAATTCCACAGCTACACCGATCCTTTCCCTGGAAATGTGTGCTTGTACTGCATGCTGCTAACAGTTAGCCAGATGTGGAAGAATTCAAAAATTAGAACATCTGTAAGGCAGCTCCTGAAAAAAGCTGAGCTGCCAAGATGTAATGGGAGTGAGTCATTTGTGGAGGAGGTTGTAAGGCACTGTGACTTTTTCCTAAGGACAAGAACTGGTAATGAATAATTTCAGCAGCTCCAAGTTTGATTGTTTTAAAACTAGAGTGGTCTCACCCGCAGCCTTATCAGTTCTCTGAAATCACCCCATACTTTGCTACACATACAACCCCCAAAGTCTCCCAATTTCTCCGCAGAGAATTCCTGGTGTCACGTTTTGCTGGAATAACACCCTGTAAATGGGATTATCCAGGTCTGGAGCCTCTGGAATCTTCCCTCTATCCCAACATCTGCTGCCTAATCCCCCGTTCAGGAAGAGCTCCATCTGCAATCCATTTATTAGCGGAGTCTGTTCTCTATCATAGCTATTGCCGGCCAGGATACCGATGGCCCTAACAATGGCTGTGGCCAAGAGAGATTTTCCAGGTTATAAGAATAAGGATGGGTCAAACAGAATGTTTACATTTCCCCTGCAATTTTGGTAAAAAAAAAAAGCACCACAACGCACAGCAGTACGCAGCAACACACACATATTGGAGCTACGTTGCCTTAGTGCCTTGGGGGGCCATTCCAAAACAAATGGCACCGCAACACGCTATCACACATAATAAGCGCTGACGTGTGTTGCATTAATGCATTTGGTAACTAATGCTTTGCTGTGGAAAAATGTATTTCAGCCCTTAAGGGGTTTTCTTTGGTTGCTTTGAAGGGTGCAATGCTCTTTAAAACCAAAACCCAGTTTTGCACTACATCACATTGTCACAACATATTTGCATTAGTGCATTGGGAAGCCATTCATTTTGAAATGAACCCCAACACACCACACACCAAGGCACACCAAGGCACACTAAGGCTTCAATGAACACACATTAATTCACTACCATGCATTGCTGTGCACTGGCACATGTCCATTTTTGGACATTTGGTTCACTGCCAGCTAGTTCATTCGAATGGACTGCCTTAATGCAATGCATGGAAAAGCACACTGGGAGGATAAGCTCAAGCTACAGCTTTCAAGGCCACTTGCCAATTCTTTTTAGGGCTGTCTTGTTCAGTTTTTATTTAAATAAGATTTCACAAAACATCAAAGAGGGTTACGTTTGCAGGTGTTTTTATCATCTCTCTAGCTTAGCAACATAAATGCTTAACTTCAGGCTCCTGGCTATCTCGGCCCCTTCATTTGCTTCCATACAGACTATCACACACCTCTAGCATGTGCACACTTGGTTCTCCTTTGCAGCACACAGATCCCTTGGGAAGGAAGGAGCCCTGAACTATTGACACCCAGTTTATAAGCGTGTGCACATCTGCCCAATGAGGGTGCTTGTTACTGGCAAAACATGGACCCACCATTGGAGACTTCATCCTTCCAAAGCCTCTACGAAGCCTTCAGGCTCCAGGACCCATGCCAGGACTTCATAATCATAAAGGGCACGGAGTAACCAGTTTCTTTTATACAAACATTCATCCTGGAGACCCTCAACCCATATCAAGGAGAACCCCGAGTTTGACTTAACCCTTTTCACACCATGGCTGGGTGTCATATTGTCACATATCCCTCTCTGTTTTAACCTGGGCAGGGGGCAGAACACACAGGCCTGAACCGCTCAGCTTAGCACCTCTGTGCCAGCTACCATCCACCTGGGCACTTTCCTGCTTGTCATCGTATTCTCCTTCAAGGGGAACTCTACTCCATGCCTCAATCAGTGACTCTCTTTAACCCACTGTCACTCTGCTATGATCTCTACCGAGTCATTACCAAATGTATACTTTGTATGGGTGCCCTCTTGCTCTTATTAGTCAAATCTTGTAGACTGCTTAACATAGTGTCCAATCTTGGCTTCTTTTGTTTTCTCATATCTACTGCATTCTTCATTTTTAACACTTTCGCAGGTTGTGGACAAGATTTCTGCTGTGTTCTTGTCCTTACTTGGCCCTTCCATCTTGTGTGGGATATCGGCTGCAGCAGCAAGTGCACCGTTGACTAAAAGCTCTTCTGCAGTCTCCCGATCTAGCACAGTATAAATTGTCAACCAATATAAGAGACACACAAAAAGAAAAAGCTGTAAACATAAAGTCTAAAGAAATGTAAGGTAACAATATACAAATACCTCTTAAATAGACAACAAAACTAAAAAAAGCACAAATACATAGAACAAAAATGAGTCAATTCTTCCCAGATGGCGGGAGCAGGCCCTTCAAAGTGGTTCTACAGTCTAAAAATTTTTTATCTTTATGCATGTGTCTCAGTGATCACATGATCGGAAGCTTGTCCCACCCTCTCCTGATCGCAAATAGTGACCAGGAGCAGCTGGTGACAGCACGGTCACCATGCTTGGGGCACAGAGTGAGTGTGCTCCCAGCGCAGCTCAGCGACACCGGCAGCACGCTTGTAAGTTCCAGCTCGGTGTTAAAAGCCACCACTGTGCTGCCACATACATGCATGCAGCCAGAGTTAAGGGGCTAACTAAACTACTACCCTACAAAACACACCTAAAAACAACTCCACATCCTCTAATTAAAGGGAAAAAAAAACAATGATAGATATTTTTTTTTGTTTTAGAAAGTTTTGCTGAAGGAGCCTCAGTGAGCGAAACTCAGGGTTTCTGCTTTGTTTAAAAATTTGCCAATAATCTCGATTTTGCAAAAATCACTCTGCTCATCTCTAACCATGACATATCTTAGCTGACATGGATCACATTGAGGTGAAACAATTGCCTTGAACTGCCCTGGGGCAATCAGGGAAGAAGGTGTTATAAAATCTCCCCAATGGAAACAAAGAAAATGAAAATTCATAGTGGTGAAAGAAAAGGTTAGAACAATGACAACATTTTCATTTGTGTATCTGCCTTCTTGTCTTGGTGACAACCGTACCCTTCATTTCTTGTACAGGTGTCATAGGGAAAATCTCTCCAATGAAGTCACAGACAAAAATAAAAAGGATAGAACAGGGGCGGACTGACAACTCATGGGGCCCCCGGGCAATAGGGAATCGTGGGACCCCTGTGTCCTTGTTCACACTCAAAAAAGCCTATGAAAAAGGTACCAGGGGCATTTCATGGGGCCCCCTACTGACCCCAGGCCCTCGGGCAGCGCCCGAGTGCTCGAATAGTCATTCCACCCCTGGGATAGAAAGAAGTGCAAAACCAAAAAGATGAGTTCAAGATCATTTTGATGAAAAATTGGTCACCTAAAAACAGCCAAAGGGGTTGATCTACTAAAACGGGAGAGTGCAAAATCTGGTGCAGCTGTGTTTGGTAGCCAATCAGCTTCTAACTTCAGCTTGTTCAATTAAGCAAAAAATAAAAACTGGAAGCTGATTAGTTTCTATGCAGAGCCGCACCAGATTTTGCACTTTCTAGTTTTGGTAAATAAAACTCAATGTGTTTTGGTGACCAAACCTCTCTCCCTTCATCAGAGCTACAAAATAAATATAAAACATAATCATAAAGACTGAAAATTGTTTCTAAATATGCATGTATATGAATATACACCTACATTTTAAACATAGTATGCCATAAAATTAAAAGAAAAAAAAATACAATAAATATATAACTATACTTTTTTGCATAGTTTGAAATAACTGTACATAAAAGCATTAGCTATAAAAACAGTGAAAATCACCAAAATCAAGCTGCTGAACAGCGGCATAATAATACTAATTAGGAGCTCCAAACATTCAATATATTCATATACAAAAATTCCAGATCCACAAAATGAATGTAGAATTAGTAGAGAGATCCTGGCACTGCAGGTCACCAGGTAGAGCTTCCTCTACAGCAAGGAGAACAGTAAGCCGTACGGTAGTGACAGCACGCCTCACTGAAAATCTGATATGACTAGCTATCAGAGGCAGCAGTGCCTTAGATGGTCTCCCACTGCAGATATACAGCTATGAGGCTACAGAAAATAATCGCCAAGGCACAGGAAGTGCACTGATATCAGGAGTACCAAGGCACAAAATGTGCACTGATATCTGTAGTGCCTAGGCACAAGATATGCTCTACTAATTTCAGGAGGAATTCAAGAGAAAAGGTAAAATTTTCAGGGTACTGGTATGTGCATTTCTAGGTTTTTCCTACATGAAAGTAAATATTCCCTTCTCGACTTCTGTTCTTCATTATGGTTTTGGGTGATTGAATGAGTGTCAGGGGGATGCTAAGTCAGGAACAGACCTGTAGACAGCTCTAAGCCCCCTGGTAAGAACTGTTCCTTAGGCCACATTCACACTATTTCAGTTTACCATGTGATAACATATCCAGAGATTTGCCAGTGTTTTCAGTGGGACCTGATTACACCTGTGCACTGCACTGTAATTGGCAAATAATGCGAGTCCATTTTTTAGGGCCCATTTATAACATGCAGCGGGCACTTTATGTGTATTGGTACAGTTTGGTGCTATT